GCAAGTATTGGGCAACGGTCGTTTGAACTACACCGTTGTTCAGCGCGAACCACAAATCCCGAAGTATGTGGCTGGTTTGGAAACCACAGTTCCTGCCACTTGTGAAAACGGTCTCTCGTCCAGATTCTGAAACTCCACATCAGAGCATCTGTGTTACAGTAACTTTGCAGGTTCCATCACCGCAGAATCATCAGCAGATTAGACAGAAGGTGAACGATCGATCAGAGTGGTTCATAGTCACCTCTGCGGACACTTATTTGTACTAACATGAGAGAGAAATGAGGACTTTGAGACCGGTTTCATGGTGGTCAACCTCTGCAAGTGATGCAATCTGAAATATCAGGGATGAGCAGAATAAGTTTGGCATGGCCGGAGATGTAAGAAATATTCAGCTGAAAGTCACGAAGGGTAGTTTCCCATTGATGAATGCAATTTCTGTAATTTTAACTGGACAGTGAGGCGTGGCCTGAAATTTTAGACTTTTTGGGGCGGAAAGGAAGGTTGAAGGAATCTTACCCAGATAAAGGTAGTTCCCAAATGTTTTCAGCAGTGAGCCGTTCTTCCAAAGAACAAGTTCAGCTGTGTCACAAATATCCGGAGGTGGTTGCCGTTGATTTCACTGATAATACAAACAAGAGGGTGGAGTATCTGTATAGTGATAGTCAGGTGGACAAAGATTTTTTCTGTTGCTGGAAACTAGTCACTTCGATTATAGGCGTCGTGTAATATTTCCAAGGAACAAGAAGGAAATGAGGAGATTCTGTGCAGATATCGGTCTGATATCGAGATATTATGTTGGATAAGGCTTTTGCTACGGGTTGTGCACGGGCAGGGATGTCAGACGTCCAAGTAACTCGTGCATCCGTAGTGTGCTGTACCTCGTGTAAAATGTAGGTCTTAAAAACGTTTAAGGAAGAATGCAGTATTCAAAGCATCCTTTTGTCCTTTGGTGTCACGCGAATATACCAGGAGGTAGCATCTGTGTTACAGTAACTTTGCAGGTTCCATCACCGCAGAATCATCAGCAGATTAGACAGAAACGCGGTCGAGCATCGGGCATCGTTTGCAAAACCACGCGCCAGGAGCGTTCTTGAAATGTGCAATATAAAGGCATACTGATGCCGTATATTTGACAAATTTGTGTTAATGAATTTGCGGCTGACATCGTGGCTTGGGTGGAAAGATTCTACAGAAGAACCCTTGAGATCTGAAGTAAGTGTTCTGCTTTCCCAATATTGACACGTAGCACACAATTAGAGGGGTCATAAAATACAACTGACATTGTTATGTCACTCAGACATTTCCTCATTGACTGCGATATACGGAGCCCTTTTGACTGAAGATACGGATTGGTGAAGACAACTGTGCACTCAGACTTCCCATACCTTCCGTTAAAATGCACCCTTACTTACACCTGGTTTGCACTTTTGTTTCACTGCGTACATGAAAAGGATTGGTGCTCATTGCTGCATCAACCGAAAAACCATGGATAATCATCTCTTTACTCACTGAGAGTCAGATTACTGGTCTGCTGTCACCAGAATGCCAACGTGTGTCTGTGTGGCACTCTCATTTCTAGTGGTGCCCACCACTGCATATTTCACGTACTTCGAGTTGAAAGGCGGCGTAGGAGTCATTGACTTGCATCATTATCTCTTACTTAGACGGGGCTGGCACTAGGAAAACAGAAGTCCAAATGAATATGGTCTATGGACAGCTTTCAGTTGCACGGAGCTGATCAATAGTTGCATTAATAGGCTGTTAAACAATAGGACTACCGCGTCCTCCATTTAGGAAACAGGAAGAGCGGAAACTAAAAATATTTAGTTTTTCACGGAGGAGACTAGTATGAAACAAGTGAAGACAACCGTCAAGGGACATACGTGAAATTTTGGTAGGGGATAAAAGATACTAACAACTTATAGAGTGTTGAACCCCGTCGTGTAATACTGGAAGTCGAGTGTTATCGTGTCACCGCTAAATGGGACGTATTAGCTTTAAGGCTCACAACTTCCCATACCTTCCTATTCGAACCAAACGGAATTAGTGTTTTCAAAACGCCGTAGGCATCCAGCTTCATCACAGTTAACGTTGAAGGCCTTGAACCAACACACCATACTACTTAATGGGTTGGAGTACAACACATAAATGTGTCTATGTACTGCCTTTAAGGACGTAATAATCAAAACACACCCTGAGTGAGCACCTATTCGCCATCCATAAAATTAAGATGACCAAAAGTAGATGTCTGATTTCACGTCACCTAAATGCTACATATCTGTTTTAACCTTCCAACTTCACCACTATTTCATTATACTGCGGCAGCGGAAACCACTAAGCATACAGATATATTTATCGTCCACTGATCGAGTTTACCGCTTCCGTAGAACCTTCACATGAAAAACGCTTTCAGTGCGAATATTCATTGACTGCATCTATTTTCCATCACTTTTTCCGACGTACATCAGTCGTGAACTTCGTTTCGCTTCAAGTGAATCAAGCAACTACTTACTAAACATAAGCCTTTGTGGAAATCTTAGGAAGGATGAAAGGTGACCTACTAACCTTGGTCGTTCTCTTCCTTTCTTAACATTCCATAACGCTTTTGTAACTTGCTTCGTGCGGTATTTCACACCCCCTAATAACTTATCAGTGAAGCCTTAATGCGTAGGCTTTCTGCACGTTAAGCATTAGCCACTCCAAGTACAGACAAGACACTGTGTCGTAAATGAACATGACGCAGAATTTACAGCCGCATACAAGAAGTTATGCACTGTCCTTAAGTTTTCTTCACGTCTTAGTTTATTGCCATTTACAACGTATTTTTGAGCGAAGACTGCAGTTGTAATTCTTCCCCCTACAGTAATTTAAAGACTTAACCACTTTACACTGACCCGTGAGCTTCATTCTCCCAAATAAGCCTACTCCCTGTTTATCGAAGATTGTAAATGCAGCCAACACTCTGTACATAAATAGACCATAAGGAGCATAATCACGTGATAACTTGGGTTCAAAAAGTGTAGGAATAGTTGAAATATGCCCTCAGAAAATAGAAATCACTTGTCTTCATATAGAACGCGATAGCCCACAACAAGCGCCATGAAGCCGGGAGATGACTTCTAGCTATACTCGAAATCATTCTCTCCGTGTAGGTAGACTGCAGGTGATGCTGCAACTTTCTGGCTTCCCGAGCAACTTGGAATGAAATGTCTTGTCTAGCTCCTTAATCAGGTCCATGAAAACGACATCTACAAGCATCCTGTCGTCCTCAAAGTTAACCCAACCATTTCTGACTGCTGGAAGACCCATCAAGCATGGGAAAGCTTTGCGCAAAGCACAGTTGCAAATGGGACAGCCGAAGGTTACCCTTTGTGCAGACAGTGATGGCTTTACCGATTATTCTTTCTAGTATTTTCACTACAGTCCTAGTCAATTCTATTGGTCTGCAACTTGACTGATACTGACTAGAAACCTCCCTGTGGATGGGTGCTATCCTGGCATCCTTCCAATCAAAGAGGGATGTGTCTTCACTCAACGAAATTCGTAAAACAATAGTCTATGGGCCAGCCACACAGGCCACAAGCTGTCCGAGAAACCTGAGAGGTAGCTAACTCGGTCTCATTGATTCTTCGACATTCAGAGTACCTAACATCTCAAACCCATCGTTGCAGTCGATATCCACAGAACTTGTCCTGTTGGAAAACCGATTCTCCCACCAGTGAGATAGTGCCCATGGAAGGCTCCTGGGCAAATACCTGATAAAAATACCTAGCAATGGTTTTTGCCTATATCATCTTCAGTTACGCAGCGAACTTCTGTCCCTTTGACCAGGTAGGGTATATGACCACACTTCTTACCCTCATAGTTCATATGAAGAAATAACCTCCAAGGATGTCGCAGTGCAACCTGAGGAAGATGTTCTTCAAAGCATATTCGGTATCAACGGATAGCAGCGATAAGTTTACGTCCCACTTTCTGTAATTCTCTTTCATCTTGAAAACATAGAGATGGGTGGTGAAAAATGCGTCGTAGAAACCTTCGAATTTCGCACTTTATGGACAGATGAAAATCCTCCCGCCTTTGTGAGACAGTTCATGAAATGAGTGGTTGATTCGCTCGCGAGTATAAATGCCCAAAACACCACCATCCAGCCTCGACTAAGGCTTCTGAACTGACTGCCCGGTCCTCCTTAGAGGCTACCAATTTGAGTGCTACCGCGTTCGCCTTCCATATACTGGTTCTAGCTGGAGCACCAGCCTGCCACAAGAAGGCTGTCGTGACCTACGATGAAAAGAATTAAGTGGTGCTTCTTGCCCAGTCAACTGATGGTGCTTTGATGCTTCTAACAATCAGGTATCTGCAGTGATCTGTCCAGAGCGTTGCCTTATTTGATAGGAATTCTCTTGCCTCACGCTAAAGGATTCTGTAGACCATAACTAGGTCAACATCTTGTCGGTCACAAGTTAACAGGCAGAGCAGCCCCTCGAATGTCCCACTCTCTCGTGCAGCTTTTTTTATGGCTGTTTCACATAAGGTATTCGTAAAGTCAAGGGTGATAACGACACCACTGCGTGCTAGCCTATCACTTCTGAGAAGGATAAGTTCCTGTGTGCTTCGCCGTCAGTGATCTCAGAAGAATGCCAGGTTTCTGAGGCAGCTATGATGACAGGGCTTTCTATGCCCATCACATTACTGAGTTCGGTACATTTCTTTAGGAGATTGCAAGAGTTTGTGAACAAGATGAGACCATCTAAATGAGTTTTCATTGTATCCATAGAGGCTCCTACATCATTCTCAGCCTTTGGTGAATTTATATATCGTCGTCTTGCAAACCATGGACAACAACGCTAAAAATAACAGTCTGATTAATTAAAAAGTTGAATACTTGTGTCCCCCTCAGGTTTCTGTGATCTGGGAAAACATGTGGCTATTCCAAAAAAAATTATTCCATTAAGACTGATGAAGAATCCAAGGGACAGTAGTTTGCAGTTTGTACAGCACTAAGTTTGAAGTTTTGATGTTACATCAGAGCGGCAGTTGAATGCGGTGTCACGTTAACACGTGTGGCACATTTGAAACGTAACTCCTCAACTTTCCAGTTACGGGCACAAAAGTGCTCTATTTCTTTGTTAAAGTTTGAGAAGGTTTGTCTGTTGTCTTGCATCGAATGTTGTAACTGCATCCTTTGTATTTGCTCACTCCATATCATGCTTTTCTTTCTTTTTTTCGAGTAATCGGTTAAACCCTGTTAGGAAACAGTAAGATAAGAGAAATTATGTAAATAATTTCTCTTATGAACTACTTCTTTGACAAAGATCCCTATTCTAACGGCATGCAGATGGCTTAGTAAGGATGCACCAGGTCAGGTATGCTTTTACCCAGACACTTAGTATGACACCCCATATAGACCGAAAATGGGAAAATAAACCGAATAAAAAGCCAAGAATTGGGAAATGAGGGGGATACCCGGTGCTGAAATAGGGCGATATTCGTGGGGAAATGCAGGTGACTTCCCCTTTTCACGACTTCCCCCCTCCTCTGCCTCTTGTCCCCACAAGTCGCTTTCCTCATTCAAACTATATGTTTACCTGTCTACTTTTCTCTCTTCATTTCGTTTTATTTCCACTTAATCGTCTTCATTTCCCGCTTCCCTCCTCTTTATATGTTTTTCATAGACAGCGTCCCCATCGTTCTCAACTATTCCCCTTCAGTTCCCCTTATTTTCCATTTCCCCATTCACTTTTTTAAACCAACTGGAAAAGCAGGAGGTCGGAAATTGATGTCACAGAACCCCTCAAGAAAAGTCTATCAGACAAATAGAAAAGTCATTCTTTAGGTTTAATGAAGACCTTGAATATGCCTTTCTTGGATACATTGTATGTTCACAACAAAGCTTCTCAAAGTCGTTATCATACATTTTCATGGCATAAGCTGTATCAGCTGATTAACATGACTTTCAGGAGCTCTCTCGTCAATATATACTACACCTAACGCGTTCTGGAATAAACTTGCGAAAGCCTATGACAACCACAAATGTCAGGATGATGACAACATTGCAATTTGTGACACAGATGAGAATGTCGTGGATTTGATAAGAAAGCTTAATACCGTACAAGATCATATCAGCCTGACATGTGAGGAAGAAAATAAACATCAACTTTAACTTCTTAACATACTTTTGTGTCGGAGGGAAGATAGCTATATTAGATGATCAATGTGAAGAAAGCCTACTTCGACTGGGCAGTACTTGAGTTCCTACAGCTTTTGTCCAATGAAGTATAAGAGAAGCTTAGTAAGATGCTTCTTTTACATCTGGTACAGTGGATGATGAGAGCAAATTTTTGACAGATACCCATTCATCCATCCAAATCAACCTAGGACCAGGCATTACTACGTAACGGTCCGAGTTGCCACACCTCATATCATTACACCAAGCAAGAAGGTAGTGAGGCGCAAGATGAAGATAAGAGAATGCAGTCAAAAGAAATATAAAGTACGGGAAAAAAGAAAAGAGGAGTGACAAAATGGTGAGATTCGGTATAGAGTCGTTAAGATGAGGATAATATATGTATACATCTGCACCACTGACATCGGTTCTGAGCCGTATCACCTACAGTCAGTCTCCAACCACTGGTTTCTCTTGCCACCGGGGACCCCAACCACCTAGTCTGAATCGCCCCACATGGCTCAAACCAACAGTCAGAGACTTCACACATCGGTGCCATGTTCTAGTCTGGCCACCTCGAGCCTTTTTCCAGCCTGGACCTACTTCAGCCAACATTGTGTGACGAGGCAATCGGTGACTAGGCATACGTATTACGTGTCCGAACCATCTCAGTCGATGAAGGTTCACAACCTCGTCAACCGACTTACTTCTTCTCCCTAAAACTCTACTCCTGACTTCTGCGTTACTCACGTGGTGGTGACACCACGGAATACGGCCTATACTACGAAGACAACGGTGGTCAAACACCTGAAGCCAGCCTTCCCATGTCTTCCACCTTCAATGGTCATGTTTCGCAGCCATACAGTAGAATAGAGTGGACTGCTGTGCAGTACACGTGACCCCAAATAGGCAATCGGATGTCACGGCGGCGCCACAGGTGGCGCAAGTAGATGAAAGCCAATCGAGCGTTTTGCATGCGTGCCGAGATTTCATCGTCAGCTAACCCACCAGGGTTGATCCTACTTCCCAGGTAAGTGGAGTGGTCGACACACTCAACCACTTCACTCTCTATTGTTAGCGTGGCACCGTTAAAGACGAGTCCTGTAGCAAAAATTTGCATTTGGGTGGTGAGAAATGCATCTGAAACATTCTCAAATTGCTACTCAAAGCGTTCAGAAGACTCTGCATCGTGTCAGCGTCTTCACCTAGCAGGACAATGTCATCTGCATATTCTGGGTCTAACGAAAATTCTCCTGTGATTAGGTCAACGTCTGTGTAATTAGGTGACGAGAGGGAAACCTCCATAAGTATACCTATGGTAAAATTGAATAAGAATGGAGACAGTGGGCATCATTGATGGACACCACTCGATGAGTATAGCTCCCTGGACAACTCGCCATAGGCTCTAACATGCTCGCAAGTGTTCGAGTAGAGAGCTTTCAATAAGGTGATGTGCTTACTAGGCACGCCTTTCAGTGAGAGACATTGCCATAAGACTTCTCGATCAACGGAGTCAAATGCCGCCTTCAAGTCGAGAAATACAGCTAATGTCGGGCGTCTGTAAGCGTGCCTATGTTCCAGGACCTGGCACAGTGTGGATATTTGGTCAATACACCCGCGGCCAGGTCTTTAGCCTGCTTGGTTTCCTCGGACTTGCTGTTCCCGTGCTCCACTCAGGCGTCGGAGAATTATAGAACCTAGCATCTTAGACACTATTCGTCAGGCTGATTCCTCTGTGGTTATCACAAGAGGACTTCTTGCCTTTCTTGAAGACTGGGATAATGAGTGACTTAGACCAGTCAGAGGGGATCGTATTTGATTCACATATACTAGCTAACACTTCCGTTAACCTGACTAAGAGCACTCCACCACCATTCTTGTATACATCGGCAGTTAGTCCGTCTGGTCCTGCTGCCCTTCCTCGTTTCAGGTTACCTGCAGCTTTCTCAGCTTCGCCTATTATCAGCGGGGGGCTATTTCTATGTCCCATTCAGGATCCGACTGGATAGTGGGCAACGCAATGGTGTCTGGAGGCCAGTCAAACTGTTCGTCGAAGTGTTCTGCCCATCGCTCCAGTCGTCTCCCCTGCGAGTGAATCGCAGGTCTGTCTTTCTCCGCTATGGTCTCACTAACCGCAGTCTACCTTCCCCCCCCCCCCAGTTCCTTTAATAAGTCTAAATAACTGTCTGCTAATACCGATCGCCGCTGCCCTTTCCGTCTCTTTAGCCTTCGCTGCCCACCATTGTTCGCGGTTGTTGCGTAGACTTTTTCTCAGTCCACTTTTAAGCTGTGCCCGCTCTTCATTGTACTCGGGGCCTGCAGGGATGCGTTCACGTGCGTCCATTAGTTCGGAAGAAGCTGCTGACATCCACTGGCTTTTTTAGCCACTCTTTCGAAGTCGGCTACGGTCTTCAGTGCTGCTTTTACGGCGGACTAGAAATGGCACCAAGCTTCTTCTGGATGAGTGATAGTCTTCTGTTCCGATAACTGCCTAGCCAGCGTCTCACTGAACACAGATTTGGTGTTTTCGTTGTTCAGCAGTACTCGTAGTGGTTTTGTTGCCAAATTTTATCTACGTCCATTAAGACACAGGCATATACGCACTCGGACGAACGCGTGGTCGCTATCCAAACATGTACTCCAGGAGGAGCGGCAGTCTTCTACCGATCCTCTCCACCGATGACTAACAGCAACGTGGTGTATCTATGTCCATCGCTGCGTTGAGCTCGGTGGATGCCACGTCAGACAGTGTCTTTTCTTATGTCTGAAATCTGTGCTGGCTAAAAATAGGCGGTAATCTGAGCATAGTTGCATCGGATAGGAATTCGCTTAAACAGCCAAGTGAGATTATTTCTAGATAAAGTGTTAGCTCATCACACTTTTCATTGCACTAGGTCATTTCAGTATCACTGGCTAATAAAGATAGCTGCTAAACTGGGTAAACTCATTAGACTGATGACTAGCTATCGGATAGGCTAGAATACGAAAAAGTGGGGTGTTTTCTGTTGATGTTATGAAGTGTCTAGTAAGTGGGGTAACGTGGTGTTGTAGTCGTGCTAAGCTCATGAGCTTATACACCAATTGTCATGCATTTTAATTGCTATCGAGATTTTCAGCCTCTGCTTTAGTGAACTATATGTTGTTCACTTCGTAATCTCCGTTCTGCTCAGGGTGTGTGCCACTTATAATGTTTACATTTGATGTCTGTTAAAGTGTGTTAAAAAGTCAGTCCTACACATACACACTAGAGTGATACTGTGCAGTGGAAGATTTCTCGTAGGTTTATACTGATGTCTACTAGATGTGACAATCAGAACAGATGAGAAGGTTATTTCGTTCTCTTAACATGCATACCTCATCTTAGTGGAAGGTATCCTGATCCATTATATTAAATTAAAAATAGATCTCAGATTTGCAGTTTGAGGATAGAAGGCTTTGAACCTATATTGAGCTTTTTCTAGTAAATCTCTGGACCTTTCGGGTCCTCTCTTGAATGAGTTAAGTAATGACACAAACGCTACTTCTTCTGAGAGTCAGTTTCAAGAGTTGATTACTCGATAAGAAAACTAGTACTTTAAGGAGACGACGTTTATTCTTTACTTACCTCACTCTTCTGTGTTCTCTTAAGTGTTTTGACTTAGTGGGAAGGAAGAGAAGAGGTCAGATCATTTCTTGAAATTCTGTATATCATGATTAAATTTCCCCTCTGTCTGCGATATGATAAAGAGAAGAGGTTCAGCTCCTAAATTTCTTCTTCACGAATCAGACTAGCTATCGCAAGGATCATGTTTTTGGCTCTTTGTATAGTCTTATCAGATTATGTTCCTTACACGGCAGGACTTGGCACTCAGCCCGCTTTTTTATTTTGTGCGTAATGAAGATTCTGATTTGTGAAAATGTCGTTACTCCTCCTTTTGATGTTGGATATATATGGTCGTAAATGTCCTATAGCTTCGATTTGCGGTTGACCGATAGTGCACTGTGGTCTTGAATGCCTGACTTACTATGATTTCGAAATCATTGTGGGGAGATACTCAGGGTGGAAGAGTCCCACCATATTTCGCTTTACCATCTGCTTGTCGTGTATGAAAAAGACTGTATTTTGCTTCGCTTTTATTTACTTTTTGTTGTCCACTCATACCATATGGCGAAAGTTAAGACTACTGTCAGCTTTGAAATGTGTATACCAATATCAGTAAAGCACCCAATATCAATCAACCTTCATTAGTTTTAAACAATGTAATTAAATTAGGAGTGGTATATGTGGAAAACTTGAACTCTGGTAAGATGTAGTTTTCGTATGAGATTTGTCTACTTGATGCAGCACACAGTGACACAGTATTACTTGGTGGGGTTTCGACCATAAATTATTGTTCATAGCTATATCAAGGAAATAAAACAGCTTCCGATATCTGATTTTTACAGTCCTGTCACCTTATCTTTTTTGCTTTTGGTAGTAGTAAGATTTTCCACATCTCTGGTATGAGTGTTGCGTCTTTCGTATTATATGTGTTAGGTGTTGATTCGATGCATGAAGATTTGACTGCCAATGTCTCTCCACCTAAATGTATTGGACTTCAGCGCAGTAGTTTTATTCCACCCTGTTGTGTGGTTGTGTTAATGCATGCATTACAACAACTTTCGACCTCATGAACTAGATTGCATCTACTACTGAGTCTATTTGTGTGGAGAAACTCGGTATTTTCCGATTTCAGTGTGATAAATATGTCATCTACATATCGCCATCATATCATAGATGTGGATTAAATGTTCATAAAGCCGTGTGTTTCCAACCACCTGCTTCAGTCTGGGCACTTGTGTAGTATCCCAGCCCGCATAAAAGATATAAATTTAGTGTAAAAAAATTTCGAAGCTATCAATCAACTTTTCTACGAATACTGAAGCTCTACACACTGCAAATTTTTTAATTGATTACTCAATTTATTACTACTATATTGTTTTTGTTGTTGTCAAGTATGAATTGGATTTTTTATTATTACCATTTTCACTTTTGTCTTTATCTTCACTTCACTGAGCTGCCTTCCATTGCTTAGACTTATGATCAGTCTGTACCGTTTTGAGTCACTAAACAGTTTCCTCCATAAAGCTGCCCTCCAATGCGACATCTGATACAGCTATCCTGAAACTACGAATATCATTTAAGGTCGCCACCTTCAACGTTCGCACCTTGATCCAGATGGGACAAAAGGCAGATTTAATTAGGACTCTAAAAAGCCTCGCTGTTGATGTATGCTGCATCTCATAGACCCCTATACAAGATCCCAGTCAAGTGCTTCGAATTAGTTCCCCATCTGTCAACAAAAGAGTGTTACATCACTGGAATGAAACCATTGTTGTGTCCATCTTTGAAAATAGTGTACGTAATCTATGTGACAATCATCGGGGTATTAGTCTGTTACCAGTCACATCGAAAATATGGGCTGTTATCATACTTCGCAGACTTTGCAAAACACGTGAGGAGCAGGCCGGGTGTTGTTCAGGTCGTGAACGCATTGATCATGTGTTTACTCTCCGCCAGATGTTCGAACATCGCCAGACGTATTACAGACCAACAATCGTTGTGTTTCTTGACATTGGGGCTACCTTCTTTTCGCGGGGCAGAACTATACTCTAAAATTGTCTGTTAGAGAGGGGCAGGCTTGAAAGGTGTATGAACATCGTGAAAGCCCTATATAATAGCACCTATCTCCATTTTTCCAAACTACCAGTGGGGTTAGATAGGGTTAACCGATCTCCCCAGTACTCCTTAACTTAGCCATCAATGACATTCTTGAGACTCCTGTGATGGAGGCGCGTGGTGGTGACGTAGATCTACTACCTTGAGAACGGCTATTCGCGGACGATATCATCTTACTGTGCGATAACACAGGCTGTTCAAATCGTACTTAGTCATTTGGCAATTAGTGTCCATAGGTATGGTACTTTTGCACAATTGACATGAACCTGTGCCTACGCCGTTAGAAGAGGTCGAAAAGTGCGTGTATCTCGGTAGTTGTGTGAGTGTTGGTGGTGTATGATGAAATTTTTAACCGCGTATCGGAAGCCAGAGTGTCATATGTCAATCTGGGTCACCTTTAGTGCCATCGCGACGTTAGTCTGACCGTAAAAGTTTGGGTTTACAACACTTCGGTGCGAAAAGTTCTGCTTTACGCCTGTAAAATCTGACCTCTCCGAGCTGAGGATGTATGACGACTCTGTGTGGTCGATCCTCGTTGTCTCTGTAGGATTGCTCGTATCCATGTGTTTTGGCATGATGGAGGTGATCATTTACTAGGTGAAATCATCTGGAAACATTGGCTTCGGGTTGGAGATGTGTTACGGATGTCTTCCCAACAGCTTCCACACCGTTCATTGGTTTCTAGCCTTGGAACTGGATGAGAGAAACGGAGGGGTGGTCAGTGTATGACTTGGCGCTTTAGGATGAAGGATAGTTGTATCGCGTTAGCATCTGTTAGTGCATCACGACTCCTTGGGTGGGGTCCTAGCGATCGCGTAACTCTGACTTGATAGGTTATCAGACAGACATGGCTTAAAATTGAAACCAGTAGTGTGTCACGATGTAGCTCCCTCCTATCTTCTGCTGTTTAGACGTTTTGAATGTACCTTACTGAACTGGCCCTCTAATCCAATTATTGTTTTTCTTTCTTACTTATTTACTGCCCATCGTTTATATCCTCACATTGTTATTATGCTATTTTGTGTGGTGTATTCCTTGGTGTCCTTACTGTACCATGTTTGTGTTCTACTAATAGTAATCCCAACTATCCATAAATATATTTGCTACGGATGAGGATATTACTTATCCCATTACTGCTCTTTTTGTTTGTCTATATTTTGTTCCGAAACTATAGGACTGTTGATGTGAGGCACAGCTGTACGCGTAACACGATCTCACTAACCTTAGGAGTGGTATGGAAGAATATTGATGCGATGGGATTTAAATGTTTTTCCTGACCGTTTTCCCCTTGTTGTTGGGAAATTTAAACTAATTCACTACCGTATAAAACCTCTCTCTTTCCTGTGACAACGTTGTTTAGTTGCCGAAGAAGGAATATTTTCTGAAAATATATTGCTAGTTAAAGTAGTTCCGATTGGGTGATTTAACTCAATTGTGTCATTATGTTACGAACATTTGCGTTCTATATTTCCAGTTTTCTTTGTCAGCTTCGTCCCTTACACCTTTATCTTATGTATTAATATGTTACATTTCCAGGCAGATGAATAACTTTTCAAACTTTCAGTATCCATTTATGCAATTTTAAAATCTCTACGTACATCTCTGCGGTATGGAGAATATAATGGAGAATGGTGAGTTAAAATGTGTTTTGCACTTAGCTGGTTTAAGTGACATTATTAAGAAACAGCCTATGCTATCACTGCAAAGTATTTGAAACATTTTGTTACAAGTTGTTCTAGGCCGTTGTTACATCTAACTTTCTCACAGAACAGAATTGAAAATCTTTCATACTGTGATGGATGGTAAATGAATTCCTAGTGCCTAAAATTATTTTATGAAGTTTTTTCAACTTTGAGAGCGCAAACAACGTGGTGTCATTTGAACTCACCATAAATAGCCACATTTCCTTAGAGAAGTTTACTTTATTCCACTTTCATTGCAAAGAATTCTGTCGTCAGATGTTCACGCATCATTTTTTGTAGACTTCAGATTAATATGGAATATGCATAATGACATCTTTTGCATATTCATTAACCGAACTCACTTTGGTTGTCGAGTGTTGATGTTAGGTTTATTGATCATGGAAGCATCCACTCTCTTTTGACTAAATGCCAGTGCACTTTTGATTCGAACATGGGTAAATTAGTTATCTGGTTTAAAATTAATAAACGTGTAGCAGAGGCAAGATATTCGTGCGAATAATGAGGACAGTGTACTGTATTTGATGTGGTTCATCTTAATATGTCGCTTTGGGACATGATTTCAGATGAAGGACTTATTCTCAAGAACAGCTGGCCGTCAATTCTCTATAAGTGGGGTTTGCATGTAGCAAAACCAACGGATGAACAGTGTTGATTTTAGAGATTGACTAACAGCTCAAATGCATGCACTAAGCTGTAGATTAAACCCACCAAGCGTCAAGTTAGTGGATAAAGTTGCGAGACTGTGTTTTCTGAGACATTTGTTAGACATATCGACTAATCATCGTCTTCAATAAGTAGCACTAGCTGAAATAAGATCAGGTTGGATCGAAATCAGAGTAGCTAAATCAAGAAGTAGTGTAAAGCCAAAAACTTCTTGACTTTTGATCAGATCTATGTTGAGAACCATCGGCTTCCTCTTTAGGATTCAGAAGACCAACGAAATCATTGATTGGAAGATTTAGAAAAAAAGTTCAAAAGCTGGATAAATCAATAAATACATCTCCACTTTTTATTTTGTTAATAGTAAATAACAATATTGTATTCATTCCGGTTATTCACTGCATCTTATGAGGTCTTTCTTTTGAATGTATACTATTTTCCTTATGCATCTGGAAGTTTTAACAACCAGGTCCAGCGAAATAAAACTTGAGAAATCATTAGAAAACAAGAAATTAAGAAATGTACCTTTTTGTTAGGTTGGATTTGGTAATTAAATTTCAAACGCAACAGCCTATGAATAAAAACGATTGGGCTATTGTAATTACGTACATCTGACGGTAAAAGATATATTTTGTGGGCATTAGTGTTATCATTAAGATACCCATACTTAAAATGAAATCAGTTGGAACTCATAATTACTTTGGTGTGAGTCAGGTATTTCAACCAATACTTAAAAAAATGAGAAAAAGTTTGAATTTTGATTAAATTCACACCTAATGACTGCAGATTTGACAGTCTCATTCATTCCTTGAATTAAAGAAAGTATTATCTGATACATTGTACGTAAAATTACGCCTCAGTTGCTGATTCAGGCTTATTAGAAATGCTTTTTATTTTTCCTTAAAAGTAGTATTAGCAAATTCGTTTTCAAATTTTATTGCTAATATATTAAATGTCTGTTTATTTTTTCTTAGAACTAAAGAGACTTAGTCTGAATGGAACTCATAAACGAACAAATTATTTATCTTGGGATGAATATTTTATGTCGATAGCACTGCTATCCGCAATGCGCAGTAAGGATCCTTCTACTCAAGTAAGCATTTTCACCTTATTATCTCTTATTAGTTACTTATGGTCTAAATTCATCAAAATTAACCCGTATATTAGTTACTTTATGTTGAAGATAGAACTCATTGATTGTCAAATGCTTATAAACGAGTAGAATACAGGCAGAAACTGTTGCGATGCGAAGTTATGAGAACAAACGAGTGATTTTCAAAGGGAAATCAAAAGACTAATAGTCAAATGAGTTTATACTATCTCAGAATAGAAACGTTTATCAGTGAAAACGGATCTATTTATATAGTTTACAGTAATCTTGAAAGACAAGGAATAATAAGTAAATTTAACAAGGCAGGAGCCAATCAGAACGCTATCGGGTTATGTGACCCATGTGTAGGAAAAAGAGCACGAAGAAAATAGCTCAAATATATACACATTTTAAGTATGGAATATAAGGGATATAGGCATCCTTAACAGAAACGTATTGATCAATGAAATTTAGTGTCTGTACTGTCTTATAAGGGATCAAATGTAACTAACGTCAAGAAGAAATCGAGCTACTTTATTACAAATACTCTGATGTAATGTATATACATAATTTAGAAGTAGTACTCATCATGGACTGACATCTGTTGGGGAACCATTGAAAATCTGGGAGCACTGGACAGCTGTTTCGTCCTAGTATAGGACTCCTCAAATTAAAATCCCCATTCATCTCAAAAATACATTAGTATGTACATAAATTGTCGATCAAACTGTGTAAAATAGCAGCGGTTTCATGGTTTTATATTAATGCCTATGGATCAAGATTGAAGCTGAAACGAAGACGTAAGTTGCAGCAGACTTCGAACCAGCAACACTCGAGTCCCTTGTACAAATTTCAATTGTCTGTCTAGCAAGTGATTTTGTGTATCGATTTTGAGGTAATATCAACAGATGAAGAAAAGTGCTATATACCCCTAATTTTGCATAGCCTTCTCCTGCTGTTTCGCTCATGACCTTAAAATAACCTACATAGCTGTTTTCACACCGTTACTAGTTTTTCCATTTTAGTCTGTTTATTAGAAATGTCACACAGTGAAACAGTATCATTTACTGAATACTGTGTGGCATTTCTAATAAATAGACTAAAATGGAATTACAATCGACCACAGTGCCCAAGTTCGACTCCTACATTAGTGTTACTAGTTTTTCTTCCGTCTACTCTTAAGGCTGAACTCTCATTGGTTGTTAACTATCTTTACCTATACGTGTATTTAGTGTTGTCAAGGTCACTAAGAGATGCATATATTCAGCATCGTTTTCAAGCATATTGACTGTCGTTGACGTAGTGGAAAGCTCTCTGTCAACGGTCTGTCTTGTCTTCTTATCTTCGTGCATCAGTGGCATTGTTATGGTGGTGGTTGACGTTCTGATTTGCGTTAGGTTCGTATCGTTCGTAGACTGTTAGCTCGTATTATCGATCATAGCAAAAAGATATAACTTGAAATTGGATGTAGTTTGCAAACATACGACTCGACTTCTTGTGTCGTCAGTCCACTCAAGCAAAAGAATTGAAACGCACTCGTCAACTTTGTGCACATTCATGCCTTAGGCAATGAGCCACATCTATCTGTGGAAGGGCTAATGGCTCCGAAAACTCCGGCGAGTGGAACCGTGTTCAAACCCCGTGACCCACGGATTAAAAGTCAGTTCCTTAAACCAATGACCCACAGCTCGAAGAATTCGCAAGCAACTAACCGGAATTCGAGTAATGTAGATGATTCAGAATTCATCTAAGTACACTGCTGATGAACTCACCCTCAAACGAACCAACCAGTCTGTCAGTGTTTAAATTATGTCGATCGCTCCTGATCGATATCCACTCGACAACCTGCTACACATTCGCGCAGTAGGCAGTGGACCACACCTATTTTGTGAAGGCCAATGATACTACCTGGTTTCCGAAACTTCGGTAGGTGGAACCCGTGACCCACTGATTGAAAGTCAACTCTCTGATCCAATGGACGATAACACATGTTAGACAATAGTATAGATCGTATATAAAGTGAAGTCCGGTTCATTAAAGGGGCCAGCTCATCTTTCAGGTAACTCTACAATCCATGAGCATAGTTGAAGATATGATTACTTGATTCGATTTTCGCTCATTAACTGTGTACAAATTCACAAAATAGTCTTTTTACGAGAAACTGCTGTATCACATAATAAATTAGACTAAATTAAATGTTATAGGTCTCAAGTATGGCACCCAGAGTTTCAAAACTAGAGGCCTAAATCAATAAATCCCCTCAGGTCGGTGACCTCTGAGAGTTATGACAAAGAGTCTAAAAACCTATATTTAGAAAGAGTATAGAAATGGCGATACGGTACTAGTTTTCCAATTGTCATCAACTAAGTGCGATTGAAGAGTCATGCGTAACTATAATGTTTGATGTAAAGTGAGATCAAAGAAAAGTGTTTTCATATCTACAACATCCGCAGTAGGTATCTGGCGTTGTATGGGTAATCTCACGCATCTCCTTGGTTGTATAAGCTTTACCTTTAGGACTTGAAATAGTTCAACCATATACTAACTTTGGTAATATCTCTGTGGTCCACTTTCTTTTTATTTCAATCGTAAATAAAAGAGATTGAGATCAGCTTCACAAAACCGTATCTGATTTTATCACTATTATATTGTTTCTTAAATCAACTTATTAATTGTGGTAGTACATTTTATGCAGTATTTCACGTTGGTATTCGTCATGGGCTGAGATCCATTGGAGAAACACTGGAAACCTGGGAGTACTGAACAGCCATTTCGTGCTAGTATGGGACTTCTAAGCAGTGCGCGCCCAGGACCTCATGTTCGAACACGAGGACAGTTACTCAACGACCGCATTGGATAGAAGTCGCGCTACATCGTAAACTGACCGAAGTAGAAAATATGGATCAATGAATTCTGACCCAGTGGTTCAATGATAACGTTCTGGCCCCCGAACCTGAAGGTCCTGGGTCCGGCCTCGGTGGTGTCATTGACACACACTGCTGAGGAGTCCCATACTAGGACGAGACAGCTGCCCAGTGCTCTCAAGTTTCAAATTCTTCTCCAACTGATATCAGTTTATGATGAATACCAACGTGGAATCAATAAAGAAATCCCCACATATCTCAAAATTGTACTTAGTATTTTTAAAAACTTTCATAATCTCAATTACTAATCCATCAATGAGGTTCGATGTCTGAAGTTACTAAGCTGTTTGATTTTTAATTGTAATAACTTCTTGAAAATTTTGTGTGTTCTGTATGTAGCTACGGTTCATTGGCTTGGACTCTCCACTTTATCTCATTGAATTACACCTATGAATCCCTCTTCATTTGAGGCGTGGGCAGCTCACACAATAGATGTAACTCACTGTATATTGAGTGTACTTGCTTACTGAGTATATTTCTCCCTCCGTCTTCTGTATACACTTTGCTTGTACTTCTAGTGTCACCGTACAACGTGACTTGTAGAATTTGAAGATACTACTGCTTAACAATAATTCGTCATTTAAGTAATAGTAATCTGACGTCATCACAGGACCTTCTCCAGCGTTGTACTCAGATAATCAAGAGTTTCACTGGTTTTCTGTCCTAACGATGTCATCGATTAACAATCTTGTTGATACAACTTATGACATTATAATTTCAGTCTATATTGATGAGCGTTGCGAAAATGGAAGAAAAAACAGTCTATAATATAGGTAGCTGATTAGAACTCCCTACTTGCTTTCATACATACTGAGTTTTTTAAATGTTGCCTATGGATTGATAATCTTGCTTCATTTCAGGTCGGGGCTTGTATAGTTAATAAAGAGAATAAGATTGTTGGCATAGGTTATAACGGGATGCCAAATGGTGTTTCAGACGATGAGGTGCCCTGGGGAAAAGAATCAATGAATGAACTTGAAAACAAATACTTCTATGGTACGTTGTATACTGTGTAATATGTTTGTTTTAATTCAAGAAACTTATAGTTTGTCATGCAGAATTGAATGCTGTACTTAATCGAAATGAAGCGAATTCTAGAGGTTGTACACTCTATGCAACAATGTTTCCATGTAATGAATGCGCTAAAGTGATTATACAAGCGGGGATTAAAGAAGTGGTATATTATTCAGACAAGAAAAATGGAACACAAGCAAATCAAGCAGCAAAATATCTTTTCTTGAAGGCTGATGTTAAAATAAGGTATGGTTTAGTGTTTATTATTTTTGTTTATATGTGTCTATTTTAGACAATTTTCACCAACCAACCGTGTTATCAATATTAATCTTAGTTAACCCTGGATATTAGTTCAAAAGTGAGCAGATTTCTGTAAAACACCTTTGTAATGGATGATGTGCACATTTCTATGCGCACAAAATCGTTGTGATTTTGCCAGTTTGTAAACTAATTTTCAATAAATAGAGGTTATCTGAATATTCTTCTAGACTCTTAATTGGTAACATTGACAAACAGACAGGTCGGCGTTAGAATTCTGACCTGGAAGTGTATCAGCTCAAGTTGTCATGCTTCGCAGCAACAATACTATGCCGTTGATAAAGTATAGTAACAAGTTCGTTTCTGGTTTGAATTTAAAGTTTATCTGGAGTTAATAGTAAATCCGAACAGCACTATGGAAATAGTGTTGATAGAACATGTAAATCTATAGAACTTCATCATTTATGAGTGATCGATCAGTCGTCTGAAGTTCATCTCAGAACTGGAAATAATGCAACGTTTAGCCTCCAACATTCCACAGTTTTACGATGGTTCCGATTGCATCAAAGACGCTCAAGACTATAAAATGCCCTTCGAATTTACGTTATGCTCCCTAAGGGAGGAATCTTGCTTTCTTCACTCCCGTAAACGTTCACACAGAAATTGAAACATAAACCTTCGAACTATTCCTAACCGTTCACCACCAATCACACTGACTTCTTCGAAAACATTCTGAACGTTTGTGGTACATATCATGTAGTATGTTTATAGATGCTAACTCTCAACTAATTAGGTACCATTTGATTATATTTCACCGTAAGATTCTATCACATGCATATTCAAAGATTGGAAAGTATTTTTTCCAGAAAACAGATTTATGCTACTGAGGTGGTAGGATGCAGTCTGCCGATCTTTCCTGAACGATTTATTCAGTTCTATGATCAGCTTATTTCCATCCTTCTGAGTTGGCTGCAGTGTCTTGTGCGTGAAATTCCTCCTTAGTCCTTGTTTTTTCCAGATCGATCTGTCAACGATTGTAGAACCCAATATATTGGATTACTAAATCAGTGAACCTACTTTATGAAGTCCTTCAGTAGATATCTATAAAAATTGCTAATCAGCATGTCATCCACTTCACAAAATATCACATTGATTGCTGCTAGCAACTCGAAGTAAATGGGTCAACTCTTGCTTTATGTTGCTTTTGTTACCAGTCACTCATTTTAACCTCATGGTTTTGAGTAAACATTGTGTTTTTACTCGATTGATCTACATGCTGTATCGTACTCACTGTCCTCTGGAATAAATCGACAAATGTTGAGAGGTAATAAGCTCACAAAAAACTAAATTATACATGAGGGCTTGAAGCAAATAAGCTTCATGTTTTAAGAGTATCTTGTTAGCGTAGTCAACTCTCATCTTCACTTTCCTCGAAAGTCCACAACTAGTTTTAATTTGTGTGCAGATTTATTCATAGTATTGGTGTTTCATGCTACTTTCATTTCTTAATTTCACCTGAACATTGTTAATGTGGGTTTGTTTGAATGATACTTGATTAGTTACAACTTATGAATTGGTTCGTATTGTAAATACATTCTCCATCATTTCAACCCTCATCTTCTGCTCTTACGTTTTCTGACACTGATGGATTAGTAACTTTGGAAGCGCTAAGAATATGTCAAGATATCTAGACTCTTATACACGTAATTGGACTCAGGAGCAAATCCGCAACAGTGGCTATGAATCTCGGCATTTGGAACCAAAGCGATTCTCCAACAATAAAAAAAACGTTCGAATTACACGTAAGATCCAAAACAGGATTTGTTTGAGATACGGTTCTGTACTAATAAGCAATAGTGATTAATAAATTACAGATCTCAAGTCGTGAGTTATCTGTGGCCTTATCGCTAACAAAGCACTGTACAAAGAGAGCGTCAACGGTAAAAACAGCAAGGCAAACCGGAAGAGAAGATTAAAAAATGCGCATATCTCTTGATGAGGCAAAAACATGTGATAAACAAATGTTTAAGGTAAAATAAAAACTCAGGGAACAACAAGAGGAATGCTAACGCTGTCATGAAGTTGGAAGAGTACTTATATCTAGGTGTGTCAAATGATGAACAAGATACGATTGAATTAAATGAATAGCCAAGTTGTGGACGACGTACCATTATTGGAAAATGTGAATTAAACTACTCAGCAATACTAAGTAGTATAAAAATGAAGTTAGGAAAAAGGAAGGAAACATGGGTGATGTAGAGTCAGCGAGAAAGGAATTAGCAGCAGCTCTTGTTGTTTTCTTGACCTAATTAAATGCATTGGAATTCATAAGACTTGACTATCGTAATAACAACCTTAAGAAGAAGTGGTTCTGTATTCAATAATGAATAATGTCAATTACATATTCACATTCAACTTAGCATAACAGCAAGGAACATATAAGCTATATTCAGCAGACGTCAGAAGTGATGAATTCAGTTTGGCTGAAGGTCAACTTATCTTACTAGTCATTCAAAAAGGGGTAAATACATAGACAGCCAGTGATAAGGATGTTGCTAAAACTATTACTTCCCTAAGTAGTTGTTGTGATGTCCCAGTCTTGTATAAAACATTGTTATTGATCTGAACATTTTAACGTGTCATTCCCACATTATTTTTACGGTATGACTAATAGTCTATTTCTGCCTCCATTGTAATGTAATTTGCTTATTGGTTAACTTTTACTCTTACTATGCGAATTTCTCCAATTGCGGAGAAGGTCATTTTTCATGTGTATACTTATTCACGTGTTTTGGATTGATTCATTGTTATTATATTCTCGGAGTAATACACTCTCCCATCTGCCAGCTTCGATCTTCTCTCTATTCCTCCCGGGGTTGCAGTCAGTCTCTTGCGTACCAAGTTAGCTGTCAGCTAAGCGCGCGTATTATATTCGTTCTGGGACATATACATACACCATTAGCGCTTCGAAAACATAACAGTAGTACATTTACATAAGAATGAGCAAATTCACACTAGACATGATATATTGCTGATGCCAAGCTATTCAGCTTCAGCATTTCTTGGTTTCCGAAGCTGTAGATGAGTCAGCTACACTAAAGCACTTTCGAATTCTAAATGGATACTTACGAAAAGACAGTAAGTTCATCACTAAGGTAATCTAGTTGGGATTCAGTTGAGTTCATACATGGTTATAAAATGTCAACCTGCTACCAATCAACGTTAGAGTTCATATACATTATAATCACGAAATTCAAAAATGAAGTCTATAAATACTTCGTTAAATAATATAGCTAACTAGTAAGTATCGACCATTGTTTATGGTTAATATATTCTCTTGACTAGAACAACGAATTCGCAGGAATTTCATTCATTTAGTCCCCGTAGTGAATAACATTTGCAGAAATAGGTGACATTGTATTTCATATAATTTTCGCTAACTGCATAGAACCTGAATAAATAAGTAAAATAGTCATTGTAACGATAATTAACATACCTGATATGGAGCATTTTAAGTTACCAGTTGGTGTTCTGAAGATCTGAAAAAACAGTACAATTCAGAACACAAAGGAGGTTTGAGCAATAAATTAAGTCAAACTAGATACATGTTATATATAAGACAAGGCTAGGAATGTTTACAGATGAGCGAGATAAGATTGGAAATAAGTAGAAGCGGCTACGTAATCATGTGATAATGTTGACTTGACAAGATGATGAATGAGTGGGGTAAAATTATGGTAATAATTGTAATTCTTTAACTTGACAAGCGATCTGGTGTTATTGTAATGAGTAAGGAAGAGTGCGCTGGATGATCTTTTATGACTCAGATAGCATGATCGAAGTAAAAATACTACAGAAACGATTGAAAAGAAGGCTAACTGATGTTGAACTTAGACCCGAGGGATCTCACCTGCCTGTCATATATGAATAATCAAAAAACATAAAACGGACATTCCAGTGAGATATCTCATATCTCCGGTTAACTCTCCGTATAACAAACTTTCCTGCTGATTGACAAAGAATTTGGAAAGGTTCTCCAGAAATTACTAGTGTATACCTTAAAGGCTTTTGATTTAACCGACATTTGTCGAACAAATTCTTGGCATCATATGAAACAACTTATCTATTGTTGAGTATACCTCTTCTTGTAACAATAGACACTACTTGTTAGACAATTCATCCCAGACTACGACCGCTCCTAAATATATATAGCTTCAATTGGGAGAGCAACTAGAAGTGTTGGCATAAAATGCCATTTGCATCCAAACATGCAAGTTCTTCCAGTCCTGACAACCACTCACCTGAAAACGAAGCGAACCGAGAGTGACATTGTCGAGTTCTGAAATCTGACTCCAAATTTTATATACGTGTCCAGATACACTATCGCCTATTTATAATTCCCGACACTGCTGATCCATCTGCGTCAGACAGCGTAAATATCAGGAGTTAACGCGAAGTATATATCAGGATGTTGTATTGGCCAGCGAGCGAGCGAAAAGTCTTTTTCAGTACAACTAAACAAAAAATGTTCAGTGAGTTGTTACATATACTAACACAATACAGTGAAATAAAATGCTACATAAGTCCCTCCTCAGAATACAGATATAAGAGGGAATATCTGTGTTCGATATAAAATGTTATGAGAAAGGTAAATTCATTTTGAAGATATTCAAAACATAGAAGGAATGTTAAGGATATCTATTATCAGGATGAAAACTGATTAGAAGAGTGTTTACATAAAAATGAAGTGTATGACATTCGAAACACTAAAATAACTTTACCAAAGTAATAATATATCCGGAGATAAAAAAATTGACAACCAAAACCATATTACCTGGAACATTGTTAAGAAATAAGAGATTCGGAAGTCCGTGGTGCCCGGAAAAAATATTTTGTTTTGTGTATGCGGAAAAGTCTGACAAAATCGTGTGGTCATGTTTTCAACAAGGTAATGAGGAAAAACGATAATAATGTTACTAGGGAATTGGTTTTATGAAATGTAAATTGTCTGAAAGTGACGTCGTGGTCAACGGACTCTTCTTCCGGATGTCATGATTCTGCTGCCGTCGCTATTATTGGGTGATTCCGATGCCGTTGTTTCTGTTTTGACGGTGGTTTTCGGTTGCTTCGCTGTAGGTTCACACTTGGTATCTGTGATATCTGGTTCCATAAACGCTGGTTTGATTCTATCAATGCTGACCGTTTCTCGTCTACCCGAGTGTTCGACCGTGACAACTTTGTCTGA